GTCAGCTGGAGTGGTTATTACGGGATCGCCCCCACTAGAAAAACCAGTGTTTCACAATTAGCGACCATCTCGCACTTGCAACCAAAATTGTGATTGCCACCTGTGGCGGCCAAAATGGCAACTGCAATCCTCTCCAGAGTCAACAGGTGCTTCTGAGCTTCTGTAACAAAGGAGAAGCCTCTCCCAAAATCCAAAATGCTTGGCACCAAAAAATGGCGCCGGCTGCACTTTCTGGAGCCAAAGATGCTCCGGAGGTTAACCAGCCAAGGAGAAGCCTCTCCCTGCCTCCAAAGGATGAGCATCACCTGCTTACACTTTCCGGAGCTAAAAAAAAATGCTTTGTAGGCTTGACCAGGCAGGGAGAAGCCTCTCCCTGCTCCCAAAATGGTGGCTGCCACCTATATGGAAGCAAAAATGCCACCTGCCGCACTCTCTGAAGCTAAAAACTGCTCCAGAGGGTTAAACAGGCAAGGAGAAGCCTCTCCTTGCCTCTAAAATGTCAGGTGCCACCTGCCAGCACTCTCCAGATTCAAAAGAAGCTCCGGAGGCTCCAAAGGCATAAGGGAGCCGATCCCAGCTCCCACGCCTCCAAAAAACTGACGGGGACAAAAAAACCTCCCTCTCCCTGGCCTTCGTGTTCCCCGTGGCCCTCTGGATCACTTACAGGGGCATCTGCGGCCGCAGATGCCCTCCAGCGATCAGCCACACTATTTCCAAAGGAAGCCAGGCAGCCTCCAGGGATCCAACAAGGAAGGGATCTAAGTAACCTAAGGGAAAGGGAGAAAAGGGCTTAAAAGAGGGGGGAAAGGCAAGAAAAGTAAAGTAAAATATCACACTATTCAGGGAGAGATCAAGAGCAGGTCTGGTTCAAGTGGTGGTGAGTCACAAAAGCTGGGGAAGCTCAGCAGGAAGAGACATGACTTAAACTTTGTAGACTCAGTTCTATTGGATGTACATGAGAATAACCCACACAGGGATGCTGTCTCTACTGAGTCAGGAAAGGGAATATATATCTATATCCTTTTAAGCTGTGGTCTGTGAATCAATGACTTGGTGATTTCAGTTACTATTTTAATACAAGCACGTAATGCATCAAGTACATAGGTTATTAGGTTGAATATTTTTAAAAATGCATTTAAAAAAACCCATTTGGCAGAAGGAAATTAGTACAAAGAAAAGTCCATTACTTAACTTGAAAAAAATAGTTTGCTTACACTTTACTCCTGATAATTTTCTAAACTTTGTTTTTTTTTTAATCTACTTTAGCAATTCAGATTTTTAGGCCATGATCCTTTTGTGTTTATTTATACTATTTCTAGATTGTCCCAGTGATTGTGAGAGTCTCTGGATAGTGAATAACAAAAATTAAAATGATAAGCATCAGAAAAAACATAAAACAATTGTGATGACTTCCATTCAGCTTGACACAAAACAATCTTTTTACTTGTTATTCAGAAAGTAAGGAAGGTGGGAGCTATTTAACTTTTAAACATAGGTTTCAGTTTTTAAAGAACTGTAGATATCTATCCAGATAACTTTGCAATTTAGAAATTTAATTGAAATATCTCAAAAATATCAGAAATTGTGGCTAAGACCTTTAACTAACAGTTGTGCAATAATTTGGCTTTCATTCCAAATAGGTCTTTTTGAACACATGGGTGTAAACATAGCAGGTGTTCCCAGCTCTTTTAAGCAGAGGAGTCCCTTTACAGGATTATGTAGCAGGTGCAGAAGTAAGATCAACCACATGATCTTGAGAAAAGTTGTGATTGCTTTAAAATATTGCATACAGATGATGCAGTCTTACTCCCTCTTTGCAATTAAAAACAAAATGCTGCATCGTCTGCCAATCAGATTATGGCCAACCAATATACAATCATATCTACAGATCTTTGCCCTATCCACACATGTACTGAATTAATGGCTACTTATTGCATTATAAGACTGTGCCAGTCATTCAATGAATGAACTATATGAAAAGGGCCTCAGATGTGCTCTTTGAAAGAGCCACAACCACTTGCTTCATTAGGTATCTTGGTAGAAATCTGATCTGTGTTCAATCATACATGCCCAGATTATTTTAAGGGAGGGTTTTAAGCAGCTGCAGCTGTTTCAAGGAAAAATTCTAGTCAGTTTACACAAGCGTATTATGTAATAGTTCATAGAGACATTAAACATTATTTGGAGAACAGACAAATGTTTAAAGGATAACCATGTCAGTAACTACCAACCATGATCATTAAATCATTTGGGGGATAGCAGTAAGAGACTACTATTGTTCTCATGTTATTTATGAGCGTTTTCGTTGTCATCAGTGGAACTCAGTTCCTTCCTTAACCTTATTTAAATCTATATATTACTTAAAAGTAAACTTGGCTTGGTGTATATTGGCACAGAGAAACAGTGTTCTAAGGAACACATAATTTCTACCATATATTTTAAAATCAGGTTGCATCATATGGGGAATACCGCGCATATATAGCTGGCAGTTCTGAGTTTTTGGCAGATCTTTTCTCTACCAGACCTCATTTTGTGCAACAATGCTCCATTTCAATTTAAAAGAGTATATAGGCTATTGAGTTGACTTCATTAGGGTGCTTTTCACATTTACAAAAATAATATTGCTATATTTAGACATCAAGCAGGCTCGAAATTAGCCACTCTTAATTAGCTGATGAAAAACTAAAAGAAATAGTTACTACAGTTCACTAATTTAGGTTTGACTTTAATTTTGCCATTACTATGCTATCACACATAGTAACTTATCAGCCTAGATAATTTAAGGCCAAATTGTTTCTTGTGTATAAATCATTACTCTGCCAAACAAATTCCTTTTTTCATGATCCAGAGAAGATTTTTGAATGCTTAACACAGCCCAGTTCAGTAGACAGTAACCGATCAAGTTGACAAGCTCAGATAGTGCAAACAAAGCAGAGCGTAATTACAGAAGCAGGAAGCATTTAAACAAGCCTCTTGTACTGGTGAGATTATTCCAGGCTCACTCCCTTCCCTTCCCCCTCACTGTGTCACTTTCCACAGGGTTGTGTTACATCACTGTTTTTCTTTCTTTTTGTGCCTCTGCTGCAGTGCTAAGTCCAACCAATCAGATGGCAGCATTGTCAGCCAGCCCTGGCCAATCAAGAGACTGGATTTGAGGGAAATATGAAGCCCTTAGGGAAAGACAATAACAAAGGGCTTTTTCACTGCAGACAAATGTTAAGTGTCTGTGCAGACTTTTCCTGTTTTTTAATGCTATTATTCCAAGAAGGGAGGCCTTGTTGTTTCTTTCATGTTTCTCTTTCAAGTAATTTTAATTATACATTTGTGGTACATCAGAGATTCAAGCACAAAGAGATTTAGCCTATTGCGTCTTAAGCTAAAAAATGCATTAACCTTCGAACAATATAAATATATTCCAGCAATTTAAATACAGCAGATAGGTTGAAAATGTTAAGCAACTGGAAAGGTCTCCAACACCACAGAGCAGTGCCCTGGAGAGCAAATGATGAGAAGAACAGATCCATTCTGCATCTGTTTGAATGTGTATTTTTATAGTTTAATCAGGAATGGGAGTATTTTCTTCTCTTTGCACTTTTGTTCTTAATTGCAAAAAATGAATTTCATTTTTCTAAATTGTGAGACCACTACATTCCATGGCTTTTAGTTTTATTTAACAAAGATTTTATCATCCATATCTAGAGTTTATGTTTTTGTTCCTTTAAAAAAAACAACCCTCAACTCGGGATATATACCTTATGTGGTAGCCTCCTGCATTTACAATAACATGCTAAAACCATGCAGGAACCATTTTCCCTCCTCTGATATACTGTTGAAAATGTTTAAAGGAAATCCCTTCTTCCTTAGTACTTTAGCTAATAGCATTTCAAAATACTTTCCTGCTGTTAAAAGCTCCCTAAGGAAATAAGTCGCAGGTTACATGTTTTCTTTACATTGATGTTCTGGTCTGGGAAAAAGGTTGAATGCAAATTAGAAATCACACTAGTGACGTAAATTAAGCCGACAAGCTGGAAACATGAGGCAGGATGTCATTATTTATTTAGTTATTTATTTATACATTATCTCTCAGTTAAAAGGCTTGGATTGGAATTAGAATATACAAATGTGTAGCGTGAGGGGAAAAAACGTTCATATTTGCCAGTTGGTGCTACATATTTACAATGAATTGCAACTCAATATTGTTGTTCTGGGTCTTTTTTTAGCATGTCTTATTATAGATATTACGGAAACAATTACTTGTGATGATATATATTCCACATCTGGTGGAACACAGGTATTGTCTATAAGCCTAAAAATTATAAATTGTCTTTTATTTGAGGGAGCTGCCCAGAAGATAAATATGATAGCTTTTCTTTGTTTAATAAAGAATACTCATTGACACATTGGTTTTCAATTTGTTTTTTGTTAAATATTGGGAAATAGTTCTAATTCATTTTTTCTAATTTTTAATACTCGGGAGGAATGCCTGCTTAAGTAAAATAAAGAGCATGCAATATTAGTCATATTAATAATATTTATAAATATTAATTCTGCAGTACAGTATTTATATTGAATTATTGCCTCTAAAGTAAGTATCATTTCAAATAAATATACTCTGTGTCTGTACTCTGAGACGAGTTCAGTTTCCTCATGCCACCCAATGCCTTGTGCACTAGTTACTGATAATCAGTTTTAATTATTGCAACAATAATTATGCAATAATAAAAAAATGTAAGTCACTGTTGCCTTTTTAAAGCATACACAGTAAAAGTATTTCCTCCTCACTTTAGTATCTTGATTACTCCCTCGTTCTTTGTCTTGCACGCATATACATTGTCTTGTGGGTTTTAAATGGAAGTCACTGAAACCAACAAGAGGAAGTTAGCAAACCGCAATCTGTGATGGCAAATGAAAATTTAGCTATTTTTACCCATTATATTTCTGAACTAGGTCAAAAAATCATAATTCCCACCAACAATCCTTTGTTTCTTTTTCATCTGCAGGTGTCCTTGTTGTTAATGTTACTTGGAGAAATAAAACCTATGTTGGAACGTTGCTTGATTGCACAAAACACGATTGGGCTCCTCCCAGGTAAGTAATTATCTGGAGGGTGGGGTCTGCTTTCTTGTCCACATTCTGACATGTGAACTAGACAGTTAATAAGTTTTTTTAAAAAATTCATTTCAGATCAGTGAAACGATATGTTGTCGTGAAAGTAGGCCATGCAGAAGAAATTGTTTCCAAATAAGTTGCAAATTAATCATGTTTTAGGTGCATCCTCTCTCAGTCCAATATCAGAGGATAGGGTCTGTAATTGATATCTCCACCTTCCAAAGAGTCCAAATTCCAACCTGTTAGACCAGATGCAGCAGCCTGTTTTTTAATGGGCTTTGTATTTATCTGACTTTTCCAAAACCTGCAGAATGTACTCATTTCAGATGTATTTCAGTGCATCTATTTTGGCTCTAATTTTAGAAATTAGGCAGATCTTGCCATCAAAATTGGCAGTTTTGTTCTGAGTTTCAGCACTAATGTCGAAGACCATAAAATGAGATCTGGTGTATGTCTCCTGTAGACTATTATTTGCCAAATCCTTAGCTGAATACATGAATGGATTTCTTAAAATAAGGAATATTGAATAAAATCCAGTATATAGTTAGAGAAAATGTGGGAGGCTTCTCCTGCTTCCTCCCACATCTCACTAAGTTTGATTTTAGCATGTTAAGGCGAAAGAAAAGGAGAAAACACTATAGTGTTAATTAACAATTTTATGTTGTTTGCGGTATTGCACTGTTTATCTTTTTATGTGTCTGGTGTTATTTCATTTTGATGATTCTGTGTGTATGGTTTAAATCTTGTTAAATCTTTTAAAAAAGAAAATAGTTAGAAATAGCAAATAAATGACCTCCTGCAAGGCTTGCGTGGCTTATCAAAAATCAAAAATGTAACTGAGTACCTTACTAAAATAATCAACCCCACAGATTACCCCTTTCTTCTCCTACACTTCAAGATTAATGATACAACGGTGAATCAGAAAACAATAACAAGATATTATGAACAGCTAGGGAAGAAAGTTAAAGAATTAGGAGCACGCATGCTTTTTTTCAGCTATACTTCCAACAAAAGACCAATATCCAGTGAGGGAGAAAAGGATTTTAGAAACAAATTACTGGTTTAAAAACTGTTGTCATCAACAGAACTTTGGCTTCCTGGAACATGGTTTGCATTACCTATATGAAGGGCTACTGGCAAGGGATAGACTGCACCTCAAAAGAACTGGAAAGAATATATTCAGAAAACGACTGGCTCATCTTATCAAAAGGACTTTAAACTGAAATTGAGGGGGGAGGAGCACCAATCTTCATGACCTTTAGAACCTCAGTCCAAGCAAAAACCATTAGATAATCAATCAAACAAGGAAGCAAGGAATAAAAAGAAACAAGAAATAAAAAAGAAAAACTTAATGAGGTTTTTCGTTTTCAGCTCTATTCTGATTGATTGATTGATTGATCCTTCTCCCTTTCTTAATTTCAGATGATTTAGGGAAGGGTCCTCATCATCCCTATACATTACTGATATTTTGAGGGAGGGTATCTGGGTGTCATATATGTTGATTTGCCATTGAGACAGTTTTTATTAGAAGAGATTTGATTTTTTTCCTCCATGTACCCAATTCTGATACCTAATTTTATTTATAACAGGTTTTGTGAATCGCCAACAAGTGACCTGGAAATGCGAGGAGGTCGGGGCAGAGGAAAGCGAGCAAGGTCTGCAGCAACTACAACCACACCAGGGACTGACATTACCTTTACAGAATCCAGAGGACTACAGAACAAGAACAGAGGTGGTGCTAATGGAAAAGGAAGACGGGGCAGCCTTAATTCTAGTGGCCGCAGGACACCCCCCAACTGTGCTGTGGAGGATGTGAAAGTCAGCCCTTTGTCAAACAACAAGAGGAAAAACAAGCCACCCATGGAGCTGGACTTGAATTCCAGTTCAGAGGACAACAAATCTGGAAAGCGTGTGCGCACCAATTCTAGAAGCACTCCTACCACTCCACAAGGGAAACCAGAGACTGCTTTTTTAGACCAAGGTTGCTCTTCTCCAGTGTTGATTGATTGCCCCCATCCTAACTGCAACAAAAAGTACAAGCACATTAATGGATTGAGGTATCATCAGGCTCATGCACATTTAGACCCAGAAAACAAACTGGAATTTGAGCCTGACAGTGAAGACAAAATCTCAGACTGTGAGGAAGCACTTGGCAACGTGGCACTTGAATGCAGTGACCCAAGCACAAGCTTATCACATTTTGATCAGCTGAAGGGGCCCCTGTCTCCTTGTTCCCTGAGTACCCCTGGAACACCAAAGGGGAAACGGGAGCAGGCCCAGAATGGCAGGAATTCTGGCAAAAAGAGGGGCTTGAACAGTGAACTGAATAGTCTCCCAGTTATTTCCAATATGACAGTGACTCTGGAAAACTGTTCAGTGGCAGAAAACAGTTTGGCCAGTGAAATGCCCAAGCTAGAAGCTGAAGGACTAATAGACAAGAAAAACCTAGGAGAAAAAGACAAAGGCAAAAAAGCCAATAACTGTAAAGTAGATAAAAATCTGTCCAAGCTGAAAACTGCCAGACCGATTGCCCCAGCTCCAGCTCCCACTCCGCCTCAATTAATAGCTATCCCCACAGCAGCTTTTACAACCACCACCACTGGGTCAATATCAGGACTGCCCTCCCTGACAACCACTGTTGTGCAGGCTACACCAAAGAGCCCTCCGCTAAAACCTATTCAACCAAAGCCCACAATCATGGGAGAGCCAAACACTGTCAGTCCAGCTCTCACATTACTCAAAGACAAAAAGAAAAAAGAGAAGAGAAAACTTAAAGACAAAGAAAGCAAAGAGACTGGGAATCCTAAAGTGGATTTGAAGCTGGGAAAATTGGAGGACACCAAGGGGTCTGGGAAAGAGATTAGTGGGCATTTTTTAAAGGAACATCTCAGCAAGAATGAAGTGTTAGCTAATGGACTGTCAGAGTCTCAGGAGAGCAGGATGGCAAGCATTAAAGCTGAAGCTGATAAAGTTTACACTTTCACAGACAATGCCCCCAGCCCTTCGATAGGGAGTTCCTCCAGAATGGAATGCAGCCCTTTAGTGAATGGACAGTCTTCAGTGGCGCCACTGCATGTGTTGACACAGAATGGGGCAGAGGGTGCTGCTGCTAAAACTAACAGTCCTGCTTATTCGGATATCTCTGATGCTGCAGACGATGGTGGTTCTGACAGCAGGTCAGAGGGCATGAGGTCAAAGGCCAGCTCTCCTTCAGATATTATTTCTAATAAGGACAGTGTTGGAAAAGGACATTCTTCAACCCCGGTACAATTACCCCAAGTAAAAGAGGCTCATTCTCCTTATTACCATGGCTACGATCCTTATTATTCTCCAAGCTACATGCACTCTGGACAGGTCAGCACCCCCGCAGCTGGGAACAGCAGCAATAACCCCCAGGGAATGAAGATCAAAAAGGAGGCTGAGGAAGAGGCTGAGAAAAAAGACAAGGCAGAGCCTCCCGAGTCCAAAAAAAGTGAAGCTGGTCCCACTAATTTGCAGCCTCAACACCAGTCTGTAATAACTCAAAGGCACCCTGCACTTGCCCAGTCACTTTACTATGGCCAGTATGCCTATGGGCTTTATATGGACCAAAAATCCTTAATGGCCTCTAACCCTGCTTATAGGCAGCAGTATGAAAAATACTATGAGGACCAGAGATTAGCAGAACAGAAAGTGACACAAACTGGCAGAGAATGTGAAAGGAAAAACGAGCTCCCCCTGAAAGATCTGGGAAAAGATGACAAGTTGAAAAATATACCCTCTGCTACAATCTCAAAAGCACCTTCAGCTTCGGAGACCAGTAAAAACAACACTAAAATAGGGTCATCAGTCCCTAATAAAACTGATGAGACAAGTAAATCACAGATGCTTTCGAATCATCAGCAACAAATTCAGTCCGATAGCTTCAAAGCAAAACAAATGGAAAACCATCAGCTTATAAAGGAAGCTGTGGAAATGAAATCTGTTATGGATTCTATGAAGCAGACTGGAGTAGATCCTACTACAAGGTTTAAACAGGTGAGAAGGCGGGAGAGAGAGGGATGGAATTATTCTAAGCTTAGATCCTAGGGTTTTAAGCTATAATCTTTTGGCATTTAGCTGCAGATACTTCTGCCAAGGATTGTGTAGCTTATGTGGATGTTTTTTCTTGCTTTCTCAAACAAGATTTGTTGCTATGCTCTCACCAAGATTTCAGGATAGTAACAAATGACCTCCACAACCAAGCCCTTGATGCTTTGTTCTGAAATTATATTTTGAAAGACAGAAATGGTGACATAACTTCAGGGATTTGTCTGAACACTTAGTGGCCATTCCCTATTCTTCCAAGGTTCACAGCCACTAAATATCAACGGAGTGTGCAAACCACACCAGAGCAGGGTAGAAAGAAGTAGAGTTACTTGGCTATTTCTAATAAGGATATTTCTAAACCTTGTAGAGCCGTGCTCGGCTTTCAGTCTGGAATGCTGTAGTGAGATTATTTGCATGCCTTTTCTTCTCATGCTCTGCCAGAACTCTTCTTTCTTTGGATATTTGTTATGTTAAATTAACTTTCTTTTTGCAAGCAAATTTGAGGGTTGTTGCAAATTTCTAATGACCAGCAGTGTTGAAAGGGGTGAACAGGCAGAGAGATTGCTCTGAGACTTTCAGCAACTTTCCCCCAATTAGCTTTCTTCTAAGACTAAGAAGAAGTTCAGACTCCATAATTCCCAGCCAACTAGCTGGGACTGACAGGAGTTGGCATCACAAATTTCTTGATTATAGTATTAAAAACTACACATAATTGAGGAAGGCATAATGCTTCCAAAAGTCATTTACATGTGTAAAAACAATAGTAATAGCAGCAATATTCATGGGGAGGATTTATTATTTGATGGGTTTGTGGCAGAATCTGAGAATCCCTGTCTTATATCAAGTGGCAGATATAAATCTCACTGTATAATTTGGCTTATTATATCAATAAATCAGCAAATAGGATAATGTTTTAATGCTATGCTTTTCAAATATTTTCAAGTATGAGAAGAAGAGACTTAACTTTTTTCAGACAGGGTAAAATATAAATAGATATTTCCCATACTAATCTTTGATGGAAGTCATAAATCTTCATTTTTATATTACACAGCAAGATCTTTATTCATAAACCCATCCACCCCCAAGATGAAATATTTTATTTATGTTTGAATGAATGAATGGTTTAGATCAGTGGTCCTCAACCTTTCAGGGACCGGTTTTATGGAAAACAAATTTTCCACAGACCAGGGGCAAGGATGGTTTCCTGCACAACATAGTACCTGTGTATGGAGAGATGAAGCTTTGCTCACTCACCCACTACTTGCGCAGCCCAGTTCCTAATAACTCATGGACTAGTCCTGGTCCACAGTCCCGGTGATTGTGGACCCCTGGTTTAGTTGATAGAAAATTGCTAAAATCTGCAGGATACCCAATTTAAAAAACCACAAAATAATAGATCAAAAATGTACATCAACAGGAATCAATTTACATTGGTTTGCAAGGCATGTGGATCATAATGGTGCTTTTGTTGTTCAGCTCTAGAATTTTCAACAAAAGTTTTCTGTTTTACGGAATTAGAGAGCCAGCTGGTATAGCGGTTAAAATCACCAGGCTAGTAACCAAGAGACCATGGATTCTAGTCTCGACTTGGACACAAATTCAGCTGCGTGATTTTGGGCCAGTTAAGATTTTCTCAATCTGCTGCAATAATATGTAGCATGTAAGTACAGGTAGTCCTGTACAATGAACCTCCAAAAGGTACTTAGGATCTGGATTTGAATTTCCAATGCTGCCACCTGAGGCTCCCTAGTCACATGATCAGTCCACATTTTTGCAATCACATAACCATGTTCTACAACATTTTTTGCCAGAAACTTGTATTTATTTCTGGTTTTTGCCAAGAACCGCCAATAGCGGATAATGAGTTCACTTAACAGCTGGAGCATTTGCTTAACAAACACCACATTGATTTAACAAATGAAGCACCTTTTTTATGATCCTGAAAACAACCATCACAAAAAAATGTAAAATCAGGCTGTTCATGTGGGTGTCTCAACCTACAACTGTCATGACATATGACAAGAGATTCCGGTCTCCATTAAAGTTGTACTATAAGACATGAACTGTCTGTACAGTCAGGAAGCTTATTCTAGTTTATAAGGTAGATTTATCAAATGGATGTTTCCTGAAATGGTTATGTAATTTCAGTTTGTTTACATTGTGTTTGATGAAATGTAAAATACAAGTTCTAGTTCATGAGATTGGAATAATTTTAAAAAAATGTTTTGATAACAATCAAAATAGTATGATAAAAAACAGAAACCATAATCTTCAGAATTCCCCAACCTGTTCCTCAGTTTGGAGATATTACAGTCCCCCCAAAAATTAATACTTTCATGCATTGAATTAGATTCAGACTTAAAGAAGAATACCTATTGCAGTCAACGGAGCTCAGTTTTCAGTTATTTAAAAGTGTACGTTCTAAGTCTGGATTTAGTACATTGTTTGTTGTAATGAATTTAGTTAATAAATACCGTAATAGATTCAGAATACTTAATTTTATCTACAAGTAGTTAAAAACCATTTTCAGTCTTCTCTTATGCATACTTACTCAAGCTCCATATAAGATTGCTTGTTACTATATATAAAGAAGCATACTGTTTAATACCTTTATCGTATAAAGTGTAATTGAATATGCAAATGTACTACTGCTACTCTTTAATTACATTATAAGGGTGTTTTCCCCCCTACTTTTCTCCATAAATGTGAATTTCCGTTTCTGTATGGTAAGAGTGAGGCCCTTGTCCAAAGAGCTCTGTTGCATATTTCCCACAGCTGGGCAGTCTCAATTTTGTCTATGTTGCACAGTAAACGTAAACTATTTCAGTTTCAAAACACAAAAAATGGAGATTGCTGGGCAAAAAGCATACAAGTAAATCAATTTGGTTTGTGGGACTTGTCATGCATTTATTGCACTTCTTTCAAAACTTTTCCCTTCATCATTCAAACTTTTCCCTTCATCATTCATCATTCATATATATATACATATATACATACACACACACACACACACACACATACATACATACATATATGCTTATTTAGAAATCAAAGTGTTATTTCTGCCTTCAAAGTTCCTAAAATAAAACCAAGATGACAGTTGAATCTTTAAATTTTATATGTTATGTATTTTTTCCGTTAAGGTAGTGAAGGTCCATTTAAGTTCGATGAAAGCAATTTTTTGTACTTTATATTAATTTTTAATGAAATACTATTGCCATTCATTCCTGTCCATGACTCTGGCTTTAAAAATTGCAAGCTTTTGCTATTTTCCTAAGGCAAACAAGACTTCTATATGACAAACTGTATCCTCCTGCATTACACATTAGTCCTTTTCCAGCTTATGGAGGTCTCCAAAGCAGTATGTGACATCGCAAAATGACTTCTACCTTGTGAAATTTAGATAGAGGCTAAGATTACATTCCTAGCTCTCTCTCTATAAAAAAAGCAAAAGGCCAGCTGGATGGAGTTAGTGAGGCGTTTCTGCTGTCTTGAAGCTATTTTCTGCTCAGTAACTGCAAGAGATCTGCCAGGAGAACAGACTGAGATACCAGTAAAAGAAGTGAAGCTGAGTTATGTCACATGCAAACTCCAGTGATAAAGACATGCCCACAATTCCAACACAAATTTCACTCAGGTTGACAATAGCATTTTCAACACATTGCATTTTTTGGAAGCTGCAAAACCCTTCTCTGTTTGCCGGCTCCACTCTTGACTTTTTTGGCTCTGTCCTCTGGACCACAGTGGTTATAGGATGTTCTTTTAAAGTGTAAATTTTAAAATGGTTCCCCTCCCTTTTTTCCCTTTCTTATCAGGACCCAGATACAAGAACATGGCATCATTATGTATATCAGCCAAAATATCTTGATCAGCAGAAAGTGGAAGAACTGGACCGTGAAAAAAAATTAAAAGAAGATAGCCCCAGAAAAACACCTAATAAAGAAGCTTCTTTCTCCAGCCTTCCAGTTTCATTGAACAGCATTAAAGAAGAGCCTAAGGAGATGAAGCGTTCTGATTCTCAGCCACTGGAGGAGAACAAGATAAAAAATGATGATCAAAAGACTGCTGTAAATTGGAAGGAATCCCGGGGTACCAGAGTGGCTGTTTCCTCTCCAATGACTCAGCATCAGTCATATATACAGTACTTGCATGCTTACCCTTACCCACAAATGTATGATCCCAATCATCCTGCATACCGCGCTGTTTCTCCTGTTCTCATGCATAGTTATCCAGGTATGTATCAAATTAAACTGAATAGGCCTATCAGTTTTGACTTTGACTTTGACTTTTAGAAGCAAAGGAAAATTAGAAGCTTCAGAGATTCAATTTCTTTTGCAAAGGTCTAGAAGTGAAATAAATTTAACATAGCAGTTATTTTTTATGAATTATCATCATTTCCAAATACAATTTCTGCCTCCATTGGCATTCCTCTGGGCTATTACACTCAGGATAGTGGCTTGCCTATAAAAAAATATTGTAAGCATTTACTCTCAGAACCATTACAGTTATTACTTCTTCTACTTAAATCCCTAAATGTTTGAATTTGCAATATGTTCAACCCTCTTTATAACTTTTCATTTGCCAGGTTCAAATAGCCACGTTTGACAAGAGAAATCTAATCCCTTGAATACAATTTTTGTAATTTGCATTTCATGCATTTGAAATTGCCTTATTCCCCAATTGTAAATAGTAACTTGAGAGTACCTTTATTTTTTTTATTTGCAGGGGCCTATCTCTCACCAGGATTTCATTATCCTGTTTACGGAAAGATGTCTGGGAGAGAAGAGGTGGAAAAAGTCAATACCAGCCCTAGCATCAGCGTAAAATCAACCACTGAATCTAAAGCACTGGATTTGTTGCAGCAGCATGCCAACCAGTATCGCAGCAAGTCACCTGTGGTAAGATATAGCTTGTTCTTAATGAATTGCATTAATTGGATAACTGGAAGAGTGAGGTTAACTTTAACTGGTACATATACCTAAATAGAATTGAGATAGTCATACATTAAGAAGACTATGTTTATCATAACACGTTCCAAAAACACCTCTAAACTACCACCTGTTTCCACCTTTTCACCATCCCCTGCCAGAAATATTGCTGCTTTCAATGATTTATAGAAGCTAACATTGTACTATCAGTAATGAATAAAATGATTCAGATGATGACAGTTGTCAGAGGTAATGTCAGTGAACTGAGGAAAATAATCTGCAGGGATGATATGATAAAGCAGGGCGATATACATAACCTTAAATACAAGCATACACGGAGATATCTTTTTTGCACAGAACAAAACTTTACATAATCAGCATGCAGTTATTTTAATAGAAGTATAGAAATCCATACATTACAAATGATCACATTGTGTTGCATGATGCAAAAAAAATCATATTTGACAACAAATCATGATTTAAGTTAGTTTGTGCTTTCCTAAAGGAATCAAAATTAAAGAAGCATATGCTACTTTTAATTGTACTGTGTATTCTGTTTCATTGTATTTTCTCCTAAATGATACTTAAAAATCTCAAAGTACAGTAATAAAGCTAAAATAAGTTTATAAACCTTAATCAGAATAAGGAACACAATAAAGCCTTTGCACCTCTCCTTAGTTTTTGGAATGTCACCATCAAATTATTTTTTAAAAATAGGTGATTTTTTTAAGATAAATTGAAGAAACTTTAATTGCTGTAAACAAAAGCTCCATATTTGATTAAAATAGTTGTCTTCTTTTTCAAGCCAATTGGGTGTAGTTTTGTTAGCAGAGTAACTGGAATAACACAGGTGCAGGATGGTACAAGGTGTCAGTGGTTCAGATGACAGGTAAAATATAAAGTCTTCTTTGAGTCATGCTCAGTTTTCTAATAACTGACAGATGTTGCACAATGCAATATCTCTATGTAGTTTTCTTGGCAGCAGGACAGAAGTGATGGGTCCCTCCCCCCCCCCAATCTAAATAATAGTCTGGGATTCTTTGTTGGAAGAACTAATTTGATTCAACCATGCTTAGCTTTTAACATGGCAAAGATGTTGCCACACACCTGGGATATATTGGAGATACAAGACATTAACTAGAAACTGAATAACTCACTTCTAAAGAAGTGTGGAGTCATCCATTAATTTTTCTCAATATGTTTTGTTTTTAGCCTGTGGAAAAATCTACAGCTGAACGCGAGAGAGAAGCAGAAAGGGAACGAGATCGTCATTCTCCCTTTAGTCAACGGCATCTTCATACACATCACCATACACATGTTGGAATGGGCTACCCGCTAATTCCAGGTCAATATGATCCATTTCAAGGTGAGTATCAACTTTTCCCTACCCTTTATTCTAAAAAATATTTGCTTTAGGTAGTGACCACATTGTTTACAGAACCTGTTGTTCATTGGGGCTTATTGCCAGGATATGGGTACAGAAAGGCAATCTTAAAGCTAGCCCAACTGGCTCAAATGGCCATAGCCATCTAAGGTGCAGTGGGCTGACTTAAAGGGTGCTATTTTCATATCTCTGCATGGCTGATAGGAAGGTGAGGATATTATGCAACGGAAGTGCACGTGTGTGTGTGTGTGTGTGTGTTGTGTGTGTGTGTGTGTTGTGTTGTGTTGAAGCTTCTATTGATTCAAAGACTGCCTTTAGCCATACCTAACTCTGTAGTGGCATTGTGAGCATGCCATTATTCTTGGTCAGGTTTGGGTACACCATAACTTGGTTTGTTCATTCCTTCTGTTCTCCTTATTAAGTTTTTAATACTCCTCTATCCTTGTGCTTCTTGACCTCTCAGCGGCCTTCGATACCATCGACCATGGTATCCTTCTGCGATGGTTGTGGGAGGTGGGAGTGGG